GCACGATGACGACCAAGATTTTCAGAGAATACTATTTCGTTCTACCCAAAATAGCCCCATTCGGGACTATAAGTTGAAAACGGTCACATTTGGTGTCAACTGTGCGCCCTATCCGCCATTCGCACCCTTCACCAGCTCTCCCAAGACATAGAAACTACATACCTCATGGCCGTGCCCATACTGAAGAACGATACATACGTAGACGACATTCTTTCGGGCAGCCATGACCTACCCACAGCTACCGAATCTCTCGCCCAAGTAACTCGGCAGGCTTCCCATTGAAGAATATTACCGCTAACCATCCTGAAATCCTCAGAAGTATAAATAAAGAGGACCTGCTTGATACAAATTTCCTCCAGTTCGAGGAAGCAAGGAATTGTTAGGAATTCAATGGAACGCTCTCACTGATACGTTCTCTTATACGATTGATTCCATCCCGGCCTCATCCGCAAATACGAAGCGCCAAATTCTCTCCTCGGTCGCCAAACTTTTTGACCCGGCAGGATGGGTTACGCCGGTAATGATTCAGGCAAAAATTCTTCTACAAGAGCTTTGGCTTGATGGGACTGATTGGGATGAGCAGGTAAAACCCCTCCGTCTTATCAAATGGAACCAATTTGCCAACAATCTACAGGCAATCTCCACTATTCAAATACCTCGCTGGGTAGATTATATGCCAGATGAACAGTCAGAACTGCATGGCTTCTGCGACGCCTCGGAAAAGGCTTATTGCGCCACTATTTATGTCCGCACCATACACGATACTCGTGTCTCCTCTCACCTTCTAGTAGCCAAAGGAAAGGTAGCGCCTCTCAAGACAACAAGTTTACCACGGTCGAACTGTGTGGAGATCTCCTTTTAGCAAAACTTGTAGCAGTCGTCCAATCTCACCTTAATCTCTCACCAAATAAGCTCAACCTCTGGTCGGACTCCGAAATTGTTCTGGCATGGCTCGAAAAGCCGCCTCACGCCTGGAAGACCTTCGTAGCCAACCGCACCGCACAAATAATCGATCTAGTCGGAAATGCTACATAGCGACACGTATGTAGCAAGGAGAATCTCGCGGATATGGGCACCAGAGGGTGTAAACCGCTAGACTTGGCAGCTTCCTCCCTATGGTGGAACGGTCCGACTTGGCTAACGAATCCCCCCGAGGCATGGCCGAAGTCTTCACGCCGACAAGTCATGCCACCAGAAGTGCGCAAGGTCGAAACGCTCCACGCCGCTGCAGAAAATATCGACGCCCTAGACCGATTCTCGTCGTTTTCCCGTGTTCTTAAGGTCATGGCGTATGTTTTCATGTTTATAGACCTATTAAAAGATCGAGCCAGGCATAATATGCCCACTAATCCCAGTTCGCTAACCCACGAAGACCTCCGCCAAACAAAAAACCGTCTTATAGCCTTAACGCAATCTCGCTACTTCTCTAGCGAAAAGGGACGATTATTAAATTCCATGATCATTGACAAACGAAGCTCCTTGCGTATCCTCAACCCATTTTTGGACAAAAATGACTTGCTCAGAGTCAATGGTCGCTTAGCTCACTCCACTTTGAGCTATAATGAGCGACATCCCGTCATAATCCCAGAAAAAATCCCGATTCGCAGTTCTTTACGTGCGATTTCTGCACGAACTA